TAGTCTATGTACAGCACATGTTTTAGACTTGTGCTCTTCCCCGTTGCTTTCTACATATATACCAGAAGAATCCTCATCACGCATACCTGCCGTGGGCGGCTGCATCTATCTACACATCAACACTCACCGCCGAAGAAAGCGTTGACTTCCAGCGAAGGGCGGAGTAGCTCGACAAGCTTGTGGAAACTGCCTTTCTCCATGCGGTACGACCGCCGCCACCCGTGCCGTTTATCGAGGTCCGCCTCGTGTTGAGCCCACGGAAGACGCTTGGGCTCGTAGATGGGCTCCCGTTCCTGAGGGCAGTGGGCACGATGAGCCTCTCCTGCTGCCACGACGCCCGCCGCCACTACTACGGCCCTCACAAGACCCAAGACTGTGAATCTCTTGTCATGGGCTACATCCTCCTCGTCGATAGCTCGCCGACGGCGCTTCTCCCGGCGTTGCGCTGCGATCCCCCTGGGATCTTGACGCTTCCCACGCTCAGGCATGGTAGTGGAGTTGCCTTGGGAAGCACTTTGGGGTGTTGTTGGTGCTGTCTAGGTGTGGTGTGATGAAGACAGCACGCGTGACCGGTGTCTGCTCCGGTAGTCGCAAAAAAGCGGGAAATTTTTCACCGAACAGTACAAGGAGCAAGCCCCCAAAAAATACGCCTTGCTCTTTTTACGGAAACGTAGAGGAACGCCTCCATATATTTCAAGAAAATGCGGTTTCGTAACCAAATACGTATTTTTTTTGGCCTGATAAGACACACCCTAATATGCATATATATCACGAGACGTATGACCGAAAGGACATCGATCGGGAGAACCTCGAGCAAAACCGGAACTTTTTCAGTAAGATGATCGTGCGAAGGGTACATGAACATGTCTATCCGCGACCCAGAGGGCAAGCCCGCAAATATTTATTCACCTTCCGTTGGGGCCATATAATATAACAGCCGAGAGAGCACTTGTACAGTACTTACCCATGTTGAGCGATGCGCGTTTGAGAAGGGAAATTTGCCCCGTATACTACGCCTATCTACACAGAAGTATACAGTAGAATATAATGCATTATCGCATACCGTCGCCTTTCTTTCCGCTTTGACCCCGGACGGACGTAACAACTCTAACTTTGTGTCGTCTTGCCTTTTTGATCTAGGAACCGATTTTTTCTCCTCCGAATTACATGTAGCTGCGTCAGCAGGGAGGGGAGAGGAGCATACCACGTCCATCCGCGACCGATTCCAGAGAGCAAGCCCCGCCGCAATAGAATGATGTGGTGCGTTTTTAGAAGGAAATAGGAGTGCCCCGCTTTCACCACCAATGTGTTGCGAATCATAATTCATGTAGTACAGTACTGCTGTATCGTATGTTGTCTACCTTCAGCTCATTCAGACGGACGGTACGTTTTCAGGATCTTGATTTGGAACTTTTCGGATTCATATCTTCTGCCGATATCTGTTCCGTATTTATTTCTTCCGCAGTAGGAGGGGGTACATTAGGAGGATACCACGCGACGCATTGACAGAAGGACACACCGTTAATCCCCTGCTGCGAGCACGTCTATTCGATATACTCGTAGCATAGTATGATGGTTGAGATGTTATGTACGTACGTACGAATATTGCAGTGATGAGATGCGGAGGAACAGGAACTTTCTACATATTTTCCTTGGTTGTGAGAGGCTTTTGGTGAGGATTCAGAGAGATTCGTTGTGTGAGAAAGCATGAAGGCGTGACTCGATACCGTGATGGTTTGACGAGCACGAGCACGCCCCCGATTAATACAACACTACAACACGACAACACGGATACAACACGTCTGTACGACTTTACCTACCCCTACGGCCCGTCATGGCCGAGCTGCTCTACACTCCCATCGCACACAACTGAGCCACCCGAATTATCGATCACGCTAGCGTATGACACGTCGTCTACGAGATTCGCGTCGAGCTTAGTTTGGAGTATCGCTTTGCGGCGATCAGCAGCTGTCACCGATGTCCAGCGCCGACCAAGAACGAGGCGCCCGTCACGCAGAAGACGAGGACGCCCGCATCAACGAGTTGGTGGAGATGAGGGTACAACAACGACTGGCCGACATAAGACGGCAACAAGACGAGGAGGAGCAGAGGACAGAGAACGTCCGGACCGGAAGCGAGCACGAGGCACGCCACCAGCAACAAGCGGGGCGGCCATCGGCGAACCCGGCCGTAGATGACATCGCCCGCACTCTCGCCGACGCCCTGACCAGCCGCCTGCAGATATCACCACGGGACAGCGGTAGAGTACCCAATACAGGAGGAAGTATTCGCCTGACTGAGGTTAAGCGCCTAGCGCCTTGGGATGGGATTTTTAGGCAAGGGGAAGATGAGCAGGCAAGATTTTTGATTTTTCGATCGAACATGATTGCTATGTTTGCGCAAGAAGGAGTCAGGGAAGTGGTATTGAGTGACCACAGAATTCCAGTCGGGCTAGAAGGAATAGACATGGAGGAATTGCATAGGATGCACTCGCCTGATAGCGTAGAGAAGGCAATTACGGCGTGGAACCTGCTGATCACGTCTGTAACATACATGCCAATCCTTACCCAGATCATCGCTGATGGTAGTCCAAGCGGAGGTTGGAAAATTTTCTTGAACTATTACGAGCCGCGTGCCAGAGCGGAGAAGGAAAGACTGTCATCCCAATACCACGGTCTTGAGATGAAAGTAGGCGAGACCCCCCAAGAATACTTCGGGAGATTTGCTGTTTTGCGCAGTAGGCTAGCCTCGCACGGTGTTACTTTCTCCGACGAAGATGCCAATGCCCACATGGTGTACCACCTTTCCGACGAGTACACGATGGAAAAGAAAATTCTGACTATGTCACCGATTCCCCCCTCGCGCGAAAAAATCGAAAAGGGTGTACGAGATGCCCATGCGGAATTGCTTCGCCGTCGGGAGGAGGAACCAAAGAATGGCGCGGGGCACGCGTTCGTCGCTTCCGGTGGTATCCGGGGCGATGGACGTGTCCAAAATGGGTCGAGTGGAAACGGCGGGGGACAGGACGGAGACGGAGGCGCCCGGAGTCGGAGCAGGAGCAGAGGGAGAGGAAACAAGAAAGCAGGAGAGAGCGGAGCCGACAGCGACCACTGCTACCTACATCCGCACTTGTCCCACACCAACGCCCAGTGCCGCACTCAACGCGACCGTCAGAAGAAACAGGAGCAACAGCAGCCTCAGCAACAGCAGCATCAGCCACAGCAGCCTCAACAGCAGCATCCCCAGCAACAGCAACTTCATGGACCGCCGCAGCAGCAGCCGAGCTACAGCAGTGGGGGGGGCTGGGGCGGCGGGCCTCAGCACGGACCTCACAGCGGCTACGGAGGACAGCATCAGCACAGGTATGCAGCTCCCCCTCGTCCGCCACAGCCGCCGTGGCGGCCTCCGTACGGGCATGCAAATGTGACGCATGCGTATAGTGCTATGCCCTACGGGGGGCCCGCGTATGGTAGCGAGTATGGGGGGTGGGAGCAACAACAGCAGCACCAGCAGCAGCACCAGCAGCACCAGCCTTCGCCAGACTATTACCAGCAACAGCCGTACCACCCGCCTCCGACGTCGTACTACCAGCAGCAGCAGCCACCACCGCAGCCTCCGCGACCGCCGTCGTTTCAGCCGCAGCAGCAGCAGCAGCAGCGGCAACACTTCACCCATGCCCCGCCCCAGTCGCCTTCTCCCGGAGCAGCAGCTTTTCCGCCTGGGCATCTGCACTCCCTGATGGCACACTTTGTGTCCGCTGACGAGATGAGTTCGCTTTCGGTTTCGAGTGATGTAGGCAGTGTCGCATGTGGTGATCTTGGTTTTGCTTTGTCTGCCCAGAGTTGCGATTACAGTCCTGGTAGGGAGGTATTTTGGTCGGATAGCGGTGCAAGCAACCATTTTGTGAGTAACAGCTCCAAAATGTACAACATCTCGCCTGTTCCCCCCGGCAAAGAATACATCAGAGTAGGCAATGGTGCTCATTTGCGCGTGGAGTGTGTCGGTAGTGTCAATCTGGCATTCCATATGGCAGGAGGCCGCTCGGGAGAAGTGGATTTTTGTGCCCAATTGACAGACGTGTACGTGGTGCCAGGAATTTCGTTCAACTTGTTCTCCCTGCACCAAACGCAGAAAAAGCACAGGATAGTGTTGGATGAGAGGGGTGTGCACCTTTTCGGCGGTCGGCTTAGTTTCGCATATTCGGATATCGGATGCTCTCTATCGGCCACCCGCTTGCCCCCCTCGTACCGCGACGGTGATGTAATCCCCTCTACCGTTGTCCCTCCCCCCGTTGTCCGCCAAGCGTCTCCGCCTGGCGTTGGCACTGGCCTTTTCGCCCAAAACCCCCCTCCCCCTTCTCAATTTTCAGGATCGGGTGCAGGGTACGGTCCGAGTTCGAGCTTCCCGTCCATCGGTACTGCCGGTGTTGTACCTTCGACTTCGAGCTTCCCGTCCATCGGTACTGCCGGTGTTGTACCTTCGACTTCGAGCTTCCCGTCCATCGGTACTGCCGGTGTTGTACCTTCGGCTTCGAGCATCCCGTCCACCACTTCCGGTGTAGTACCTCAGAGTGATGTTTCCCCGTCTATCGATGTTGATGTAGTGCCTACGTCAATCCGAGATTTTCAGCCTGCCCTAGCCGCAGCCATCGCCTCATCCGACGTCCTGTCCCCCTCAGTCGTGAACCCGAATGTGTCGCGAGAGATAGAGATCATGCCCCTTGAGTCCCAGGATAATTTGCCTTTGATGGACATGAGTATGTTCTTGGATGTAGGCTTGATGAACGGACAAGACTCGGTCCCACCGGGTGACTTTTATCCCGACCCATTAGGCGTGTGTGAGTCTGTGAAGCCCCCCGTTGCGTTCGCTGTGATGCAAGATGAGTTGGACGCGCTCAAAAACTTCGTTGCCGAGTGCCGTGTGAAGCAAGATGTAGGTCCCCCCTCCCTTTCCCATGCTTTGGCGATTATCGCCCCCGGTGGTCCAGCGTTCACTGTAGGAAAACCCACGTCCACCATCGACATTAATTTGTTCCACGCTTCCACCGGCCACGTGAATGAATTTTTGATGCGGGAAACCGCCAAGCAGCAGGGTGTTCAATTGGTGGGGGAACTGCAGCCATGCGTCGGCTGCATCGAGGCGAAGGGCAGGAGGGCCCCGGTGCCGCGGCGTGGAGTCACCCGCGCGGCGGTACCGTTCGGCAAGGTGCACATCGACATCACCGGCCCGTACTCTGAGGCGTTCGATGGTTCCCGTTACCTGATTATGTTCGTGGACAGTGCGTCGCGGTGGCAACGGGCGTACGGCATGCGGGCCAAGAGCGACACCCTGACGTACACGCGGCGTTTCCTCGCCGACCTGAACGGCAACGGCCCTCTGGGGTGTTTCCGCATGGACAACGCGGGGGAGTTCACGAGTGCTGCCTTCGTCGCGTTCTGCGACGCCGCTGGCATCCGGCGCGAGTACACCGCGCCCGACACCCCGAAGCAGAATGCGGTCGTGGAAAGCGCCATCTGGCGAGCCATGAAGGGGGGCCACGCCGCCCGCCGCCACGTCCTCTCCATGGGCCACTTCGACCTCGCCTCCATCCCCGGTATGGACGCCAACGGACACCGGCTGTGGCTTGCATCGGCGATCTGGGCCTCCGGCTGCTTCAACCGTTCCGCGACGTCGGCCAACCCGGCCTGGATGTCGCCGTTCGAGGCCTTCTTCGGACGCAAACCGCCGCTCAAGGTCGTCCCCTTTTTCCAGGAGGGGATGATGCGCGTGAAGCGCGCCAGCAAGGCGGACGTCCAATCCGTTCGTTGCTTCTACCTGCACGGAGCGCGCAACCACTCCGACGCCACTGCCGTCGTACTCCGCGCCGACACCGGAAGGATCTGCCTGTCCAACAACGTCGTGTGGATCAACCGCCGCACCGCCGTGCCGGCGCCGGTACCGGCCAGCGGGGGGGGTTCTTCGGTCACCGCGGCGCCCTCGCCGGCCGCCGCCGCTCCTACAGCCGCTGCCGCACCGCCACCGCCATGGACATCGCGGACGTACACCCACACCCCGCCCACAGCGACTACCGCTACGCAGCCGCCCGCTTCACCGCCGCCAGCTTCTCCGTCGATCTTCACAGGGTCCGGAGCTCCGTCGCCGATATCCACGGCGTCGTCGAGTGCACCGCCGTCCACCGCAGCCACGCCGCCCCGTCCACCGCACGCAAGCGCCGTCGCTCCCGCTCCCCATCACCCGCCGCTTTCACAGCGAGCCGTCAGAGAGTTGGGCGAGAAGGAAACCAGGGTACATGGCCGTACGCGCGGCGACCGAGTGCGCTTCATGGATGAGCAACAGCAACCGCCGTCGCCGTCAGGTGGCGGCACCGCTCTCCAACACCGCCTTGGGCTGCTGTCGATGATGGGCAAGGATGCGCTCGTCTCGTCGCTCGCCACCCGGGAAGCCGTCGATCAAGGACGTCGAGACCTGCCACCGTCCGCCAAAATCGCCCCTCCCGCTCCCCCACAGCCGCAAGATACGAGTTTAGCAGGCCATGGGAGCGGGGGGGCCGCAGGAGCTGGGGGGCCGGGGGGCCTGCACATGTTCGCAGCAATGTTCGCCACCCGCGAGGATGTGGAAGCCACTCTTCGTGCCAAGCGCCCTCCTGACAAGACGCCGGACCTTCCTCACTGCCTCGCCAGCGACCTCCGAGTGCCGAAAACGTTCAAGGAGGCCATGCGGTCTCAACATTCAGAGTTGTGGGATGATGCAGTCGGTCGTGAGTTTTTCGGTCTGCTGGATGCAGGTACTTTTAGTCCGGTGTAGCAACCAGTAGAAAACTTCATCAACGCCAAGTGGGTATTCAACTGTAAGGCAGACGAGTACGGATGGCCGACGAAATTCAAGGCACGACTTGTAGCGCGGGGGGACATGCAGAGGGCTTCGATTGATTTTGGAGAATTGTTTGCACCCACCGTATCAGTGTCTAGTGTGCGCTTGTTGGCAGCATTAGCGTGTGAGCAGAATCTTGACTTGTGCCATTTCGACATTCAGCAGGCTTTTGTGCAGTCTGAGCTTGATGAGGATGTTTTCATGCGCTTACCGCAGGGGTGTGGTAGGTTATCTGGCTTGATCGTGAAGCTATGCAAGAGTCTGTATGGTTTGAAGCAGGCATCACGACATTGGCATTCGCACCTGACGAGGTGTTTGTTACTTTTAGGTTTTTTGCAGTGTCTGGCAGATGCGTGTGTTTTTCGATTGATGGAGGAGGGACGTGTGATCATGATCATCGTGGTCCACGTGGATGACATTTTTGCTGTAGGGCAGAAGGAGAGGTGTGACAAGTTTGGCGAGGACCTCAACGAGATGGTCCCCGTGAAAAACCTTGGAGAGTTGAGGTGGTACTCTGCGTGCTTTTACGAGAGAGACGTAGAGAGAGGGCTGTTGAGGATTTCGCAGCAGAGGTTTGCCGAAGAGTTGGCTGCAGAGTACGGAATTGAGTGGGGGAGGAGTGTGCCCTTGCCTGTGAGCGTGAAGCTCACCGAAATTTGACGAGAACGAAGCGTGTGCTGACGTCCCGTTTCGCGAGTTGGTAGGATCTCTGATGTGGTTGGCCACTCAAACCAGGCCGGACATCGCGAATGCAGTACGAGCAGTAGCGCGGTATTGCGCGTCTCCCAAGATGGTGCACTGGAAGGCAGCACTTGGTATTTTAGGGTACGTGCGTAGGACGAGTTGGATGGGGATTACATTTGAGAGGGGAGTGGTCACTGGCATGAGCATGCAGGTGTTTGTGGATGCCGACTATGCAAGCAAGGCAGCAGACCGTAGGTCGGTCTCAGGAGGACTAGTGATGTGTGGGGGTGGGTGTGTGACTTGGTTTTCGAGGACGCAGAAGTGCGTCACGCTCTCCACAACGGAAGCAGAGTATGTGGCAATTGCCGACGTCTTGAAGGAAGTGCTTTTCTTGAGGCAGGTTTGGCGTTTTATGTTGCCAGATGCAGGTATGCCGTGCATTCCGGTCTTCGAGGATAATCAGGGAGCGATTCAGATTGCGCACAACCCGATCACGAACTCAAACTCGAAGCACATCGATGTACGGCATCACTTTATCAGGGAACTGGTAGAGAGGAAGGAGATTTCGATTACGCATGTGACGCCGGAGTTTCAGCATGCAGATTTCTTGACGAAGGCTATCAGCAAGGAATCTTTTGCGTTGCACAGAGACTTTGTGATGAATTTGCAGTGAAAGAAGTGTTTTCGGATCAAATCGTGTTTTTCCGCGGAGTGGAAGAGAGAGGATATGTACGGGCTTGAACAAGAGATGGAGAGAGGCAAGTGGAGATGGTAGTGCTTTGGAGAGTTAGTGTTAGGGATTTTTCTTGTTGATTTGGGAGAGTTGGTATGCGATTGATTATTTTCGGACGTATTGTATTGGTGTTGGGATTTTGTATTTTCGTTTTCTTGGTTTTGTGTTTTGGGATGAACTGGTATGAAAAGGATGACTTTGATATTTTCCCGGAGCATGACGATGCATACGAGCAGGGGGGATATTCGATATACTCGTAGCATAGTATGATGGTTGAGATGTTATGTACGTACGTACGAATATTGCAGTGATGAGATGCGGAGGAACAGGAACTTTCTACATATTTTCCTTGGTTGTGAGAGGCTTTTGGTGAGGATTCAGAGAGATTCGTTGTGTGAGAAAGCATGAAGGCGTGACTCGATACCGTGATGGTTTGACGAGCACGAGCACGCCCCCGATTAATACAACACTACAACACGACAAAACGGATACAACACGTTTCCCAACACGTCCCTACCCTACCACGGCCCGTCATGGCCCAGCTGCTCTACACTCCCAACACAAAGAACTGAGCCACCGAATTATCGATCAACGTCTGCACTATACCCCCAGAAACATATCCGCTGGTTGGAGAAAGGTAAGAGAGGAGACAAGAGATTCGAAGTTGGGTCGGTTAGAGATGAATTGATCGATGCGAGGGGGAAAGCGACCACGACAGACTAGGCGATTTAGGTTTTGGCCTCAGGCTCTTGTACGAAGAAAGGGTGTGCCGACGCCGAGAAGCACTGGACATTCACTTGTTACGTGGTCTTTTTTTGGGCTGTCTCTTTTCTCAAAGAGGGACAACTGACCAAGTCGTTAAGAAAGCGGCTCAGAGAAAGGTGCATGAGTGCTTGAACTACGGCTGAGTAGAACAGGCCTTCGTCTACCTGCGCTGTTCGGGTATGTACATCGCATGTGTGCATTGTGGAGGATGTGCACTCGCGCCAACTCGCGGGAAAATAATAACTGCTCGGCGAGCGGACGACCCTTTCGTGCTACCGGCTGAACTGAACAACCAATGGTTGGTGTTGTTGGGTGTTGTTAGTGTGCTCGTATGTGTGTGAGCCTCTTGCTTGATTGGATGATTGAATTGTGCTCGAAATTCGCCGTTTCCCCACCTCCCTGCATGCATGTGCGCCCGTTTTCCGAGGGTAACACATGGAGTCTGGCGTGACCGCCGATGGCGGTAGCTGTGAGTGGCCTTCCTACGATGCAAAGGTGACACATGACGTGAAAGAGATATATATGTTCGGTGTTTGAACATGAGCAGCGTCGAGAATAGCACGTTGCTCACGTGCCACATTTTTCGCGATGGGACCCATCACCTCGTCAGACGTGCTATTTAGGTGGAGCAATAGTTGTTTTCTTGTATTTTATCGCTCTGCTGACCCTTGGGGTCCATTTTATTTTGGTATACCTTTCCTAGGTACGTTAGCCTGTGACCACGGAAATTGGCCGAGTCAAGTGATGGATTAGTACGGAGAGATTGAGACAGAAGGAGGTACTGGATAGAGAGACCGGGATGGTTTTTAATGTGAAGACAACAACAACAACAACAATAGTCTAGTCCGAGTGGACGCCGCCAAAACTGCAGGGCATCTTCGTCCTGCTGGTCTGCGGGATACATGTATCACAAATTCAACGTGGTGGTCAACCATGGTATTTCCAGATAGATGCGGTTTGCCTTCAAGCTATGCGATGTGCCGAGCTATTCCCTGCACTTCACATGCCTATCAGTTTTCCTACATGATGACCTCAAGGAAATACACTTGCATCCATTCAATCATGAGATGCACCGCACCGATAGACTATGTGTAGACTTTTTTTGCATGCAGCAGCGGAACATAAGCTTCTTTTTGTCGCCGCTGAAACCGCGGCGCTGTTTCCTTGACTGCACTTTCGCTGGAGCCTCGACTCACTCCTCCGTTGCCTGTATTCCATGAGTTCAGAGTTATGCACAAGCCGTACCTTTGGGGTTCTTTCGACTGAGAGCTTCAGCACAGCGATCCTTACACTCCCGCCGTTGCTCTCTTCGCTCTGCATGTGAGAAACTGCCGATGTGAACAGTATTATTGCGCCGCTTGTGAGATTTGGGTTCTTCAACGTGACGCACGTACATTATTGCTCCGCTGTCGAAGCCTCCGCTTTGGGCACCTCCGCCTCCACTGCATTAAACGCTCGACGCTCTTGTCGAGCTGACCAGCAGCACCAGCAAGGGTACCCATCTCCGCTGGGCCTCCATGTGATTTTTGTTGCCCTCGCTCTCGCCCCCACACCAAGAGGCTGTCAACGTCTGGGTGTTTTTTTTTTTTTTCTCCCATCATTGGACTCTGTCGTCTGCCCGTCTGGCCCCTATCCTCCACTTCTACTAGCTAGACGACCCAACCGGGGTCACATAGGAGGGGGGAGTTGGACCCCCTCCTGCGGTACATGCCTAAAGTATTTTTATCGCGAGAAGGGTACAGCAATCCCTTCCCTCGCGACTTACGGAGTCGATTATGGTTTACTAACAAACGGGCTTTGCAGCGCGTCGCTTTCATCCTAGACCAGGATTTATTTAGTGAGAAAAAAACTCTCTGCCGGGACTCGAACCCATGACCTGGCCCTTAGCAGGCTGCGAGGGTGCCCACTAGACCACTGGGGCGACCGGTGTGTCTACGATCGGAACATATTGTACTACACTTTGTTTTGTGTTTTTTTTCTCCCGTCATTGGACTCTGTCGTCTGCCCTTCTGGCCCCTATCCTCCACTTCTACCAGCTAGACGACCCAACCGGGGTCACATAGGAGGGGGGGTTGGACCCCCTCCTGCGGTTCATGCCTGAGGTATTTTTATCACGAGAAGGGTACAGCAATCCCTTCCCTCGCGACTTGCGAAGTCGATTATGGTTTACTAACAAACGAGCTTTGCAGCGCGTCGCTTTCATCCTATTATAGACCAGGATTTATTTAGTGAGAAAAAAAACTGTACTGTACCCGTGCGTGTCTCAAACCTGAACATTTTCTCCCCGAATTTTTCGGATTCGGAAGTAACGATATTTCCGTGTTGTTGTTGTTGTTGTTGTTGTTGTTGTTGTTGTTGTTGTCTTCACATTAAGAAAACATTCCGATCGCTGTCTACCCAGTACCTTCGTATGTCCGTACTGATACAACACTCGACGCGGTCGATTCCCGTGGTCGCAGGCTAACTTACCCTAAAAAGGTACACTCAAAAACAATGGTCCCGAGGGGTCCGCAAGTCAATAAAAATCAACGCCAGATATTCTGGAGTCCTCCACTCTCTCTGCGCGCTATGCGAGGTAACAACTGAGACTAGGAGTCACCATCACGGGCCGGAGAGAACGAGGTACACCCCCTTGGTTCAATCTTGGTACTTCACGACGCAAGCAGAAACAAGGCCATCTGGCACAGAAAAAGAGAGAAAAAGAGAACCAAGAGAAAAAGAGAAAAAAAGAAAAAGGAAACAGTAAGGAAAGAGAAAATGAAATAAAAAGAGCGAGGACAAAAGGGACCAGGCCGAAAATAACAAGAAATAAGAGACAGAAAAAGGCACACGGTGGAGAGACCACTAACGACAAGCAAACACGCAAACATGGC